TGGAATTGCCTTTTAAATGCGCATTATCAGCCTTATGAAGTTGGTTTACTTGTGATTAAAAGGGCCACCCTCCCTTGCAGCCCAAAACAATTCCAGGAGAAATGGTCTACTGGGGCTGTACAGTGAGGGGGTGCACACTCTCAGCCTCTTCCTGCACACAGATCTTCAGGAAGTGACGAAAGCTCCACTCCAAGGTTCCAAGCGTGAGCTCCTTTTTCCACAATCACCTCCCATTACCCAAGCGGGGTTTCCGCCTAACCTTCCTGATCCAAATCTAATCATGAGGAAACAGACCAGAGCGTACAACGTTCATTCTGTAGGACCGGCTCTGAGACGATGCAGCCGTGAAGAACCAGGGTCGGGGTGGGAACTACCGATCTACACCAGAGGAAGCTGTAGAGGCACAACAGCCAAATGCATTGCACACAGCCTGATCCAATCCCGGACTAAAGAAAAGGGAAGCCAGAAAGGAAATTCTGGAGACAACTGGGGAAATTTAAGGACTACAGTGACAGATAATGTTACTGATTTAGGGTTTTCGTAAGTGTGGCTGGGGGGCTGGGTAGGTTAGGAAATGTCCTTGTTCTTAGAAGATCCCACGGCTATATTTACAGGTGAAGTACCATAACATTTACAACCCACTGTACATGGGTTGGTGCAGGGCAATGGGTTTCCCATATACACAGCCTTTCTGGCCTTGGGTTTATAATTCCGCCAGAAATAATTGGCTGGGCTGCAGCCTGCCCTGTGATTGATCTATTTTACACACCTTACAGGGATTGGTCAGTCTACTATGCAAACAGGGTATGTAAAACCACCCAACAGGATTGAGTGAGTGACTTGCTTATGTAATTAACCAACTCAACAGAGATCTTCAAAAAGACACGGAAAGAGAGGAGCTGTCTAACACTGAAGACAGAAAGGAACAGCACAAGACAAGGGCCCAGTGGCAGTGCAGCAGTGGGCCCGAGTGAAGGGCCTGCCTGCAGGCATGGCTGAGAAGGGGTTGACAGCTGTCTCAGTTGGAAGCTGTCCTGATTAAAGAACAAACAGTATCCTGTCTTCCAAATTGTATCACTGTTTCCAAGCTGATTCTAATCCCGAGTTGTAGCCTGTTACTTCCCCAATAAACCACTTAATGTAAGTACAGTTCATGAATTCTGTGAGACTGCGAATTACCGAACCCAAAGATGGGAGGAAGAGTACTGAGGGGAGGGGGTATAGTTGGTGTTAGAGATGATGGAGTGGTACAGCAGCTTGGAGAAATGGAAAATCCGAACATCTTTAACCTCCACCTCACAGGAACCAACATGGTGCTAATTCTTATTAAAGAAAGTATTCGTTCATTTGGCAAAGGGGAAGTGTATTTAGAGAGAGAAGATAAAACAGGTATAACAAGGCATTAAAAGTTGGTAAATCCAGGTGAGGGGTAGATGGGTGTTCCTTGTACTGTTTCACTTTGAACAGTGGGTTTGAAAGTGTTTTAGGCAAACAAACAAATAAAATACCTTACCCAAAAAAATCCAAGTGTGACCATGTGGTATTGTTGCAAAAACTGGGGCAATGCCTGGTGACATAAAGACACTTAACAATGGTCTGGTGAAATGAGTTCCTTTATGTGGCCTTTTGCCTTGGTTCTTTGGAAAAACAGCTTATGAGATTCTTCTCCTAAACCCTGAGGAGTTACCTTTGCTCGGGTTTCCTAGGAAACTCCAAAGGGTTTGTTACTTCCATCCAGGTTGATTGACATTTCCTGGGCAAGTGGGTAAGCTGTAAACTACATGGTTTGATACTTTTTGTCTGGTCCTGGGCTGCAGCCTGCCCTGTGACTGATATGTACCTTGCAGGGATTGGTCAATAGACTATGCAAATGAGGTGACTATAGCCTACTATGCAAATGAAGTGTCTGTGGCCTACTAAGAGAGAATTCATCAGTTTATGCCCCTGCCGGAAGGAGCCATGCCTTGAAACTGACAAGGGGTTGTGTATATTTGTAGTCAACCCCACAGAGGTTTTGAGACAGAAGCAACTGGAAGAAGCATAATGAAGAAAGCAGAGAGAAGAAACAAAGAACTTCCTAAAAGAGCTGTAACATGGGTCAAGGGCTATAACACTGAAGACACTGATAGAGCCTATGATGACAAGTCTGGAAGGGGCCCAGCAGCAGGGCTGGTGGTGACAGGCCAAGAGGTGGCCCTGAAGCAAAGGTGGTGGTAACAGACAGCAGGGCCAAGAGGAGCCTGTCCTGAGGGGGCCGAGAAGAAGCCTGTCCTGAGGGGGGTCGAAAGGAGGCCTGTCCTGAGGGGGCTGAGAGGAGCTTGTCCTGAGGGGTCCGAGAGGATCCTGTCTTGAGGGGGCCGAGAGGAGGCCTGTTCTGAGGGGGCCAAGAGGAGCTATCCTGAGGGGGCTGAGAGGAGCCTGTCCCGAGGGGGGCTGAGAGGAGCTATCCTGGAGGAGCCTAGAGAGCTGTCCTGCACTGAAGAAGGGAGACTGCCTACATGCTTCCTGATCCTGGCCCTGAATTATAGCCTGTTGATCCTGATCCCAAGGTATCCTGTGACTTCCTTAATAAACCACTTAACTATAAGTATGGTCTGTGAGTTTTGTGTGGCTATTGCAATGAATTATTGAACACAGCAGAGAAGTAGAGAGTGCCGTGGGAGGGATGGCTGGTGTGAGAATTGGTAAAAAGGTTGGAGAGTGGAGGTATGTCTGATCAACTCAGATGCTACGACTACTCCCACCATTTTACAAATGGGTACAAAATTATATGCATTAAATGGCCAAATACTAGGGGGATGCAAGGTAAATGACTTATCAAACAGGAATGTATTCAGGACACAGGAAGAGAGAGAGTACATACAATAAAAATTAGGTTTTAAAAGTAAAAAAGAGGATAACGTTAACAATCTCTAACATTGAGTACTCACTAGTTACGGTGCTAAGACCTCTCTAAACAAGTGATATTATCATTATCCTCACTGTTTAAACATAAGGAAAGTGAGGCTTAGAGAGATTGAGTAGTTCATTCCCAATCAACCAGATAAGTCAGAGCCTGGGTGCTGACTCGGGAGCCCATGCTCTCAATGTACAGAACACCACTGCAATGTCATAAGCAAAAGAGTGAAAGCACTTAGCCAGAGTAAAGGGTCCAGAAGTACAGACAAAGGAAGTGAGAGATAAATAAAAATGAGGGTGGGTCTAAAGGTGAGAAGGAAAAGCAGTTGTAGACTACAGAGATTACTGATTTCTAAGGCAAAGGAAAAATGTAATGACATTAAAGTTAAGACAATTAACCCAGATAGTTGGAACATAACCAAAAAAAAACCAAACACACTGCCACTGAGTCGATTCCAACTCACAGTGACCCTACAGAACAGAGTAGAACTGCCCCGTAGGGTTTCCAAGAAACATATTCAAAAGACCATTTCAGTCACACAGGTCTAGGAGTTTAAGATGGCGGGTATATAAACAAACTAAAAGTCCCCAGACACTAAAAAAGAAATCAATAAAACCTAATTATGATTGCTATGCAGACAAATGCGTGGAAGTCACGAGGCCCAAGGTGACTTCTACTTCAGGTTTTCTTTGTGGGCGCGTGCCTGGTTTTAGAGAAGCTGAGAAGAAATAAGCAGAATCTCAGACCTACATGGAATACCACCCTCTGCCTGCACCTGACTGTGGAGGCACGAGGGCCCATCACCAATCAAAGGCAGGACAGCCCAGGTTCTGTCTGAACAGGTTACTTTTCCTTCACATTCTGACCCAGTCTAGATGCCTCAGGGGTGCACCGTGAGGTCCCTGAAGCCTCTTGGGAGGAATTCGCCCAATTCTAGCCAGCCAAGGATGCAAAAAGACAGCTGAAGCCAGGCTACAGGAGTTTCTCCTACCACTACAAATCTTTGTGGAGCGCACATGAGCTCCTGAGCCTCGTGGCAGAGGCCCAACCACCCCAAAAGGCGAGGAGGCCAAGGCAGGGCCATGCCCTGCAATGATGACAGCATGCCAGGCCAAAGCAAGGTGCTCTTGGTCCTGAACCAGCCCCTTCTGGAGTCTGTTTGCCAGAGAAGCACCACCATACACCACTACCCAGCAAGCTACCTGCTCCCACAGCCAACCAACAGGCCTGAGCAGCTATACGTGCAGCAGAATGAGGACCCAAGCCTATAGCAGGAGCAGCAGCACTGCTCTTGTGAGCTCAGTCCTCCAGCCACTGGGACTAGGAGAAGACATGTGATCATGGGCACCACTGAGGGGCTACAAAGGTGGAGTGGTTGGTAATCCTGGGCTGGACTGCTAGGTCCAGACCATCCATGGCTCTTATTGTCACACTTCTGCAAGTGTGGAGGGTACATAGGGCACTTAAATTTACTCAGCTCCAACTCTTTACTCGAAATAGCTCACTTTCCTCAAAAGCTACTCAAATTCAAACTTTATTCTAGAACTTTCCAGAAGAATCTCAAACCACCTGCTCCTTTACTCTTCCTCCAAAAACACATTCGTGCATTGTCCAATTATCATTTGCTCTAACCTGTATCAATGGCATATTACATTCTTAATATAGTCTTCAGCTGCTCTACATGAACATTTACCTTCCCAAGTTTCCAGAGACCAATGATGATAATTTCTCATTTTTTACCTCATAGCAATAAAATAAACTCGGATGTTTTTTTAACTCACTTAGTATGAGGTACTATTTCTGCAAATCGTGCTGAAATAAGCAATCACTGTATAGCTAACTGATTATTTACAGTAAAAAAAGGACAAGGGAAAGACCACTTCTCATTTAATGTCTCTGACTAAATTCAGATAGATTCATATCTGAGCTGGATATAAAAAGAAACAGTAATGGGTCACATCTGAATCAATCACTAACTTCAGGCAAAATTGCAAAAATGAACCACAATAGGGCCATTTAAGGAAAAGTAAAAAGAAGCCCAGAGATCAAGAAAGATTAAGTGCAGAAGAGAATGGTGGAAAAACAGCCAAAACCACAATACCTTTAAGTTTGGTACAGGTGTGAAGGAGTGGGTCAGCAGATACCATGCACGGCCACCAAGGATAACCTGACACTTTGGACCACACCAAATCTCCAACGCTGTATCTCAGCAGACGATCTTTGTCTCTGCTGATATTTGGACAGGACTCCTTCTTGGCTGGAATCTGAAAATGAACAACAAAAGCCAAATACTAACACAAATCAAGTAATTACCACCAAGTCAACCTTCTACCCACAGAAAACCAAAGGAGGTTTAAGACGCACACAGTCACATGTGTACACACACACGCGCACGTACAGACACCTAAGAAAGGAGCATGCTCCCACTCACTGTTCCACTTCATTGAAATTCTTTACCTGTCTCTTCATCTGCCCTCATCTAAAGGGCCAGCACAGTGCCTGGCACCTACTAGGTGCTCAACATTATGAAGCTCTCTACCTAAATCTACTTCCATGGCTTGTGGATGATCTCTAACAATGCTTCACAGACCTGGTCAAAAGGAACTCTCAAGAAGTCCTGAATCCATACTCGAAGCCCCTATCACAGCCACGTGTCTGGCTGTCAGTTTTCTGGAATATGGGAGTTATCCAATAGGAAAGGACCCAAGATGGTAAGGGTTTCAGGAAGTCTCCACCCGTCCTTGGCTGAGTATCTGGGCTCTCTTCATCTATAGAACATCAGTTGGGTATGAGGGCTGAACAGCCCAACAAGAGCAAACTTTTTTCCACACTACTCTCTCAGTCTGCTCTCACAGCCAACAGGACCCTTTAACCTCCTCCTTTTTTCCAGCACCTACTGGCCAAGATGATAAAGGCAGAGGAGGGAGAATGTGGATGCCTCTGTCTTTTCCCTATTGAGTGAACTAAGTAACCCTTTTCACTTGCAGGCTTACAACTGAAAGGCTGTTATCTCTTTAAATTAATCAGATAACATGAAACTATACAGTATAGGAGCCCTGGCGGGTAATGATTAAGAGCTCGGCTGTTAACCAAAAGGTCAGCAATTTGAATCTACCAAACGCTCCTTGGAAACCCTATGGGGCAGTTCAACTCTGTCCTATAGGGTCGCTATGAGTAGGAATTGACTCAACGGCAACAGTTTATATAGTATAGGGCAGCAACTAAAAGAATGGACTCATACGAAACAGACATGAGTGTGAGTTCCTGATTCTATATTTCGGCAAACTGTTAAACGTCTCCGCGCCTCAGTTTCCTCATCTGTAAAATCAGGATACCACTGAATGCTCATGGTGCTGAGGGTTAGCATAGAGCTGTCACACTGCACACTTTCAAAAAATATTAGCCCTCAGGATATTCTATAGCATCCCATTTGTACATTTATCATGTTATTTAAGCCACAGGACAGCCTTGTGAGGACAAGTATTATTGTCTCCTTTTTGCAGATGGAGAGTCAAAACTCAAGCGGTTAACCCCAGTTTGAACCAAACCAAGTGGCCGAGCTGGGAATAAAAGCCAGGTCTCTGACAGCTTGCACAGACCTTTTCCCCTGTAAAAAGCATGAAGTATGATGTAACCATGGGTGCTTCGAAAAATCATTCTATCAGCCCAGATTACTAAACTGGTCTTTTAAAAAACTCACCACTGTAATTACATTAGTAAGAGCTAAACAGCTCCTGTGTACTCAAAAAAACAATGTTTTTAAGCCTTCAATGCCCTTCACTATTTTAACAATTTCAAAGAAATATCAGTCTTTCCCCCATCTGTGGAATTCCTCAATAAAATTCCTCAACTATGATTTTAAACTAAATATTCAACTTTGGTGATAACACCAACCCCCAACTGACTCAGGCTCCCTTTCCCCATTCCTGCCCTGCAGCACCCCAAGTGCATGTGGGTGGGGATCTGCCACTAAAGGCCATGAGCAAAAGATATGGAAAGAAAGGGCACTGAGGCATCTTCTAGACTATCACTCCTAAATGAATGTGGGCCACGAACACAGGTTGGACTGTTATGCCCCCACTTCCTCTGCCAAGGCCAAGGTGCCTCGGCTGCTTCATACAGCTTACACTCAATCTAAGTATTAGGGCCTCCAAGTGTCATTATAAGACACGGTGACACAAATCACCAGACAGAATGAAATGGAGCCACCAGTGCTCTTTTAGCTTAAGATATGATTCTCCACCCCAGTTCTGATGAGTGAGCAATCATTCTCTAGTGTTCTAAGTGCTAGGCTCTGCACTGGGAACCAAGAACACAAAAACCTAAGACACGGCCCCCATCCTCAAGGAGTTGAACCATGTGCTAAACCACCTAGTTGAGAAGACAGGCAAGGGAACAGACAGTGAACCTTGTGGTAAGAATGACAAGAGCACCTCTGCTTCCACTCATTACACGGTGTGGGTTTAAGAAGCTGGGCAAATCCAGTGTATCTCCATTGGCCACAACTAGCCCGAAGAACATCTCTGGAGATAAGATCCATGAAAACACTATAGCCTGAAGGTCAAGGGCTCTAGAAATGGCCAGATCTGGGTTCAGAAACTGGCTTTGCCTCTTTTTAGTCATTTTAATCTTGAACACTTAGTTAACCTCTCCAGGCCTCGCAACTGGCTCACCAAGCAGCTAGTAGGTTGAAAGGTGGCCATGTTGGGATGTCCTGGTGCATAGTGTCCGATCCACAGCCAAGACTCAGGCAGCATCAGCCACTGGGTGGACAGGTGAAAAGGAAGACAGACACCCTGCTGCAAGCACAGGGCCCAGCCCCACTGCCTACACGGTACCAGCTGCCTTCCACCCACAACCCCACATGGAGACATCCTCACACGGTCCTCATGTTTCTACCCAACCCCAGACAGAATTCCTCATAAATACCTTTTTGTCTGTGGGACTCGAGATCTTGGATACCAGAGCTGCTTCAACAAGGCCCTGCTCCAGGAAGGAGTCATATTTTATGCTTCTCTTTCTGCTCCTTCTTGCCTTGTTTTCTGGTTTTTGTCCATTTTCTTCTGACTGGGAAACATCAGCTGCACTGTCACCACAAATGGAAGATTCAAAGAGAGGTTTCCCATTCATGTATGTTTTGGTGATTTTCAGCTTAATTTCCGGAGAGCCATTTTTAATAGGGGTAGTGTTAGGTGGGGTCCCAATTCCTTTCATTTCCTGGGACTCAAAACGCAATTTGGCATCATGAGCGCCAGGTTCTCCATTAAACACACGAGAAGTAAGATCTTTCAACTTCTCAGCTGGAATAAAGGGAAGCGCATCATGGCCATTAAATTTTTGCATGACCCCCTCTTGCAGGGTGGTAGAAAGTTGGGCTTTGCTGAGGAATACAGAACATTCACGATTCACTTCACAGTTCTGAGTCTTTCCATTTGTATTGCCAAGGATTTCTGGTGCCTGCTTCATCTTTATGCACTTTACAACTTTCTGAACAGAAAGAGGACTTTTTTTGATGCTAAAGTCCATTCAGCCCAGATGCTTCTGTCATTAGAACACTATAGAATTAAAAAACAAAAAAAAAGCAACATATTACATTTAAATCCTAGGTAAGTATGCCGACACCACTATAACTTTGGGTTTTTAGGCAATTTACAATGTTTTATATAACAAGTTAGGTCACAAGAGACAGTTCTAATATCACAAAAGTGACAAAGAATCACAAAATGATAAAGCTGAAAAGAAAGGCAACCAGGAACTTAAAAAAAAAGAAAAAAGTCGGTCAAGGGCACTGAACTGAAACCATGCCTCTACCATTAACTAGTAATTTGGCTGTGGACATATAATCTGTTTAATCATCCTAGAAAAATAATTACCACCTACCTGTTGGTACAGTATAATCTTAAAAAACTCAGCAACAATGTGTGAAAGGCAGCTAACACCATGCCAGGCCTATGTAAAGGAGCACGGAAGAGCTTAAAAACAAAACAAACAGCTGAGGAGGGCTCTGAGGCAACGTGCCCAAGGTCACATGGTCAGCAAGGTTTAAAACCCAGATCTTCCAACTCCTAGCACAGTACAGGTAGCCCCCAGCTTACGATGACGAACTGCACTAATGACCTTTTTTTTTTTTACATCTTATCATTAGTAATATGTACTACATACAATGTTGCAGCATGTAATTTGCTGATGTTATCATTCTCAGAAGCTCACTCGCAGACGTTCAGAGATCAGATTTATACAGATATTGATAATAAAAACAATACTAACGAAAACTTCAAAAAAAAAAAAGTATTCAACATATATCAGAATCAACTTACAACGCACCCATCGGAATGGAATCCTGTCCTAAGTCGGGGACTACCTGTATTAGTTGCAGATGATGAGAAAAAGCAAAAGCCGAGAGTAAGAAAGTGAGAAAGCACTCTGAGTCAGTTCTGGTAGGCGCTCAGTCTACTACTCTAATCCCTGTCCCCCATCCCCACCTTGCCCAGGTCCAAATTAACACTTGTGACAAGGAACACTGCGTGACATTAATTTAGTTAACTATCACCTGAAAACTAACTAGCCAAAGACAACACTGCTGAGCCATCACATGCACTGCTTCACAACTTGGGGAAAACAGTCAATCTGAAGCACTGGCAGACAAGGCCCACGTGCACAGGGGGTTGGTTTTAGGAAGATTCCTCTGGCTACAGTGTGGTGATGTGGAATCTTCACTGAGCAGCTATGATCCCCAAGTCAGGGGACCACATGAGATGAGACAAGTGTCTGGGTCAGAACCCAAAGGGCAGATAGGAATAAGAACACGCAGGCGCCCATCTAAGCTGAGAAGACATTCACCGAGAGTGTGCCACTACTGATAGCAGAGAGATTCCTTGGAGCAGGTGGCAATCACTGGCATTAAAAGCTGGGGAGAAGTTGAGGAAAATAACTGGACATGCCCACTGATACCGAGCAGTGGTTCTCAACGAGGGACAATTTTGCTCCCCAGGGGACATTCAGCACTGTAGTCAGAATCAACAATGGCACACAACAACACAAACACTTTGATTGTCATGACCTGGGGGCTGCTACTGACATCTAGTGGATAGAGGACAGGAATGCTGCTAAACATTCTACAGTGCACAAGACAGCCTTAGCAACAAAGAATTATCCAGCCTAAAATGTCAATGGTGCCAAGGTTGAGGAACTGTGATACAGAGCAATAAGGGGTCGCTGGTGTCTGCAATCTGCAGGTTCCACAGAAAGATCAGGGTGGAAGTAAGACAGCTGAGGAAGGAGCCACAGCGAAGAAAGGAGTAAATTTAAAACAACCTCAAGTTCTAGCTTAGATTAATGTGCACTGGGTGACCCTAAACACCAAGATACATATAAAAACGCTTTGTTTGATCCACATAATGTTTTTTTAAAAGGCAAATTAGAGTAGTTTCCTCTTCAAGCAATGACAGAGCACCTCATATCAAACCAACTGTCCCACAGGTAACATCTATGAACTCTGGACAAAATATAAAAAACTACTTGAAGGCACTGGAAAGCAACCAAAAGCAGGGAGAAATTGGATGGGAGTCAACACTTGAAAGAAAGAGAACTGCACTCACTGAATTTCTCAGTTTTTACAGTTTTGTGCCCGAGGAGAGTTTGGGAAACTGCAGTAGATGTAAGAGGAAGAGGAAAAAAAAACTCAAAAAGGAGAGCACCACAGAAGGAGAGCCCTAATTTCTGCAAACAAGCTCTGTCCAAATCTCTGTCTGACACATATATGGGGTTGACTCCAAGCAGTCTAACTTATAAAATAACCAAAATAAGATTCCAGATGCTGAAAAAAGAAAACAAGCCAACTCTTCACTAAATGGTGCTGGGAAAACTGAATTTCCACACGCAGAAGAATAAATAGAATCCATGCCTGCCTCACACCATACACAAAACCAATTCAAAATAGATTAAAAACCTAAATCTGAAAACTAAAAACCATAAAATTCTTCGAACAAAATAAGGGGTATGGCTGTGGGACACCGTATTTAGCAACGGATTATGAGATATGACAACAAAAGTAGGAGCAATAAAGGACAAAATAGGTAACTGGGACTTCATAAAAATTAAGTACTTTTGTTCATCAAAGAACTTTATCAACAAAGTGAAGAGAAAATCCACAGATTAGGAGAAATTTTTTGAGAATCATTTATCTGATAAGAGTTTAATACCCAAAATATATTTTTAAAAACTCCTATAACTCAACAACAAAAAGACAAATAACCCAATCAAAATATGGGCTAAGGACTTGAACAGACACTTCTCCAAAGAGGATATTTAGATGGACAACAAACACATAAAAAGTTCCTCAGTGTCATCAGATCTTCCCAAAAACCAAACTCATTGCTTGTAGTCTGTTCGATGCCAACTCACAGAGACCCTACAGGACAGAACAGAACTGCCCCACAGGGTTTCCAAGGCTGTAAATCTCTTGGAAGAAGTATAGCTAGAATGCTCCTCAGAAGCGAGGATGGTGAGATTTCATCTCACATACTTTGGACATGTTATCAGGAGGGACCAGTGCCTGGAGAAGGACATCGTGCTTGGTAAAGTAGAGGGTCAGCGAAAAAGGAAGACGCTTAACAAGATGGATTGACACAGTGGCTGTAACAATGGGCCCAAGCATAACAATAATCATGAGGATGGCGCAGGACCAGGCAGCGTTTTGTTCCATTGTACACAGGGTTGCTATGAGTTGGAACCGACTCAAAGACACCTAACAAAAACAACAAATATTTACAGGAGCAGACTACCACATCCTTCTCCCGCAGAGAGGCTGGTGGATTCAAACTGCCAAACTTTTGGTTAGCAGCTGAGCTCTTAACCACTGCACCACCAGGGCTCCTCATTAGCCCTTAACCCGTTGCCATCGAGCTGCCTCCGACTCATAGCAACCCTAGAGGAAAGAGTAGAACTGCCCCACAGGGTTTCTAACGAGTGGCTGGTGGATTTGAACTGCCGAACTTTTGGTTAGCAGCTGAGCTCTTAATCACTGCGCCACCGGGGCTCCCTAGGGAGTTGTAAATCAAAACCACAATGATACTATGCAACAATAAAGAACAACGATGGATCTGTGAAGCATCTCATAACATGGATGAAACTGGAGGACATTATGCTGAGTGAAGTAAGTCAACCACAAAAGGACAAATATTGTATGAGACTACTACTGTAAAAATTCATGAAAAGGTTTACACACAAAAAGAAACAATCTTTGATGGTTACAAGGGATGGGAGGGGTGGGGGGGAATACTAAATAGACAACAGATAAGTGGTAACTTTGGTGAAAGGTAAGACAGTACATGCTACTGGGGAAGAAAGCACAACTTGTACAAGGAAAGGTCATGGAAGCTCCACAGACACATCCAAACTCCCTGAGGGACTGAACTGCTGGGCAGAGGGCTGTGGGCACCATAGTCTCAGGGAACATCTAGCTCAACTGGCATAACATAGTTTATAAAGAAAATGTTCTACGCTCTACCTCGGTGGGTAGCGTCTGGGGTCTCAAAAGCCTGTGAGCAGCCATCTAAGATATTCCACTGGTTTTACCCCTTCGGGAGCAAGAGAGAATGAAGAAAACAAGATACAAGGGAAAGATTAGTCAAAAGGACTAATGGACCACAACTACCACAGCCTCCACCAGACTGAACTAGATGGTGCCTGGCTACCACCAGTGACTACTCTGACAGGGATTACAACAGAGGGTCCCAGACAGAGCTGGAGAAAAATGTAGAACAAAATTGTAACTCACAAAGACAGACCAGACTTACTGGTCTGACAGAGACTGGAGAAACCCTGAGAGTATGGCTCCCAGACACCCTTTTAGTTCAGTAATGAAGTCACTCCCGAGGTTCACCCTTCAGCCAAAGATTAGACAGCCCCATAAAACAAAACGAGACTAATGGGGCACAACAGCCCAGGACAAGGACTAGAAGGCAGGAGGGGACAGGAAAGCTGGTAATGGGGAACCCAAGGTCGAGAAGGGAGAGTTGACATGTTGTGGGGTTGTTAACCAATGTTATAAAACAATCTGTATACTGTTTAATAAGAAACTATTTGTAAACCTTCATCTAAACTACAATAAAAAAAATTTTTTTTTTTAACCACAATGAGATAGCACCCCACCCCCTCAGAATGGCAATGATCAAAAAAATGGGAAACAAGAGGTGTTGGAGAGGATGTGGAGAAAATGGAACCCTCATGCACTGCTGATGGGAATGCAAAATGATAACAGCCACTGTGAAAAACAACTTGGCAGTTCCTCAAAAGGTTGAACATGTAACTACCATATAACCCAGCAATCCCAATCCTAGGTATAGACCCAGAAGTGAAAGTGAGAACACAAACAGAAACCTGCTCGCCAATGTTCACAGGAGCATTTTTCGCAATAGCCAAAAGGCAGAAACAACCGAATGTCTATGAACAGATGAATGGATAAAGAAAATGTGGTACCAAAAAAGAAATGAAGTCCTGATACAATATGAACCCTGAAAATATTTTAAATAAGTCAGTCACAAAAGGAGAAATA